GACTTGGAATAGATATAGATATAAAGGAAGGGTCTGGAGGGGAAATTTTGCCTGGCGAGAAAATTTTTCCAGAATGGAGTTAACAATTACTAGAGGAAGCTAGAGGAGATAAGTGGTAATCAAGTAGATTGGTTGCTCAGCTCTGGACCCCCTGGTGAGGTAGCAGCTTGTCATTTCTTTGAGGGTAGGTGTGGTCCTTCCAGTAGGTAGTGTGGTGTTTCCAATAAACTGCCTGCAAGGGTAGGGATCCAACCCTAACATGACTTCCCTTTTGTTCACCCTAACACTGAATAGCTAGGATTATAGGTGTAAGCCACCAGGACCTGGCTATTTGTTTTTTGAGACACAGTCTCACTATGCAGTTCAAGCTGGCCTAGAACTCCTATATAACTCAAGCTGTCCTCAAATTTACAATCCTCCTGCCTCAGCCTCCCACATGCTGGATTTACAGGCCTGAACCACCATGTCTAGATTCTCCCTGCCCTATTTTGGTGGTAAAAAGATGTACAGCAGCCACAGCTTGAAGAGTGCATGGGATACCAGGGCTCCAATTTCTCATGGATGAAAGTCTGTATCACACCATTAGATAAATCACTGAGAACAGCAAAGATGCTACCTAAGGATGAAGGAAATCTAGAATAGACAGAAGAAGGAAATGAGTATCGGTTGCTGTCCTGAGAACAACTACAGTGAACTGCAATTCTTCCCACTATCTTTCCTCTATGTTTCTACCATGAAGTTTGCTAGAGAAACTGCTTCTGGAGCTTACCTTGCCAGGCTTGGTGATTGTTGAGGCCCAGAAGCAGAAAACACAGACCAATTTCTCAAATATGTATCTATTCCTGTCAGTCAATCTACAGTCTTAAACTACAAACTAAAAAGGACATTATCTGGGGTTGAAGATAGCTCTGAATCAGTGTTCAGGAGGCAGGAAAAGGGGGAGATAATACCAGCTATTCTAGTTTGACAAAAAACAGGGATTGTGTGACTGATAGAAGACAAAGGAAAGAATGTACTAATAGAATAGCTATGTCCATAAAACAAGTCAAATGACCTTCTTGATATGCATATTGAGGCTCTGGATACAACGTAATTTTCTAGTTGTTCTGGTCTTCCAGACTGCAATTAAAGCCAGAGATGATGAAAGTTCACAGCTCTGGGCAGCAACTAGATTTACCCATAAATCCTGCTCTTGCCCTTGCTAGGCAAGCACTCTTCTACCAAACTACATCTTTTTGTTTGTTTGTTTTGGCAGTAGTGGGGTTTGAATTGAGGCCTCACATTTAGTAGGCAGGTGCTCTACCACCCTTTTTTGTGTTAAGTATTTTCAAGATAAGTTCTCTAGAACTATTTGCCCCGGGGCTGCTTTAAAAGGCAATCCTTCTGAACACTGCCTCCAAAATCACTAGGATTACAGACGTGAAGCACTGAGCATGTGAATAGCCATCAGACTATTTTGAAAAGCTCTTCCAATTTTGCTTTTTTATCATAATTTCCTTTGTATTTTCACGTTCCCTTTTTGGTGGGATGGAGTTTGAACTCTGGGCTTGGCACTGGCTAGGCAGGTGCTCTATTTCTTGGGCAAAAGAACCAGTCCTTTTTGCTATTTCAAATAGGGTCTCACTTTTTTCTTTCCCCTCCCTCTTAACTGGGATGACTTAGTACTTTTCTTTTTAAGACAAGGTCTCACCAGGTGCCAGTGGCTCACACCTGTAGTTCTATCTACTTGGGAGTCGAGATCAAGAGGATCGAGGTTCGAGGCCTGCTAGGGCAAATAGTTCATTAGCCCCCATCTCCAAAATAACCACCAAAATGGACTGGACTGGAGTGTGGTAGAGCAGCTGCTTTGCAATCACAAAGCCCTGAGTTCAAACCCCAGTGCCACCAAAACAATAAAAATTTGAAAAGACCAGATCTCACTATATAGCCCAGGCTGCCCCCAGCTGGAAATCCTTCTGCCTCAGCCTCCCAAATAATAAAATTACAAGCTTGCACCATCATGCCTGGCTTTCCAAAGGCATGTCTAATACATTTCTCATAGTAATCTGTGTTTCAGACCCTGATTCCTAGAGAATAACATCATCCAGGGGAAGAGGGGCTTTTGATCACCAATTGAGAAGAAATTTAGAAGGAAAAGGGTATGTGATATGCAGCAAATGATGGTTCTATTAAAGCAACAACATATATGTATATGTATGAATATACATGTGCATATGTATGAATAAATAATATATATGTGTATGTATGGGTGGAAACACTGTAAAAGAGGACTAGGAAAACAAGAAAGGTAAGTGTGATTGAGAAAGATGCTATTAAAGAGATGGAATATGGGCTTGGGGCATGGCTCAAGTGGTAAAGCCCCTGCCTGGTAAGAGCAAGGTCCTGAGTTCAAACCTCTGTATGGCAAAGAAGAAGGAAGGAAGATAGAATATGAGCTAAGGTTTGGAAACAGTAGAAGAGGATAGGGCAGAGGGAGGCTGTCACCAATTTCCTCCTACATAAGAAATGACAGAGATTCAGAGCAGTAACAGTTAAGAAGAAAGGAGGCTACTTGAAATTCCTGGCAGGAATATAGGAAAATAGAAATTACATGTCATCACAAATACGCCAGGCTCTGTCACGCCTCCTGTTTTGTGCACAACATCCTCTCCTCCTCTCCTTTTTCCTTCAGCCAAAATTCTTTTTTTTTTTTTTTTTTGGTGTGGTACCAAACTGAACTCAGGGTCTCAGTGTGTTAAACAGGCACTCTACCACTTGAGCCGCTCCACCCAAAATCCTAATCCTTGAAGATTTAGATCCAGGCATAGATTTTATTCTTTCATAAAGAGGCTTTCAGGGAGGAAAACTTTTTCCTCCATTCAGTGCCCAAGGCTTGTGAATTTGATTGACAAAAGACAGATTAAGAAGAGAAAAAGGGTTATTCATATGCTCAGGAAAGCCATCGAAAGAAGTAGCTGATTAGTTAAATGGTTAAAGTTAAAGGTTTCTACAACTAATTTAGTGGAGGAAAGAAAGGGGAAGAAAAGCTTCTGGGGAAGAACAAATAACGTTTCTTTAGGAAACATGAACAGGTCTTTAAGAGAAGAAGGTAAAATTTTGAAGTTCATGATAGTGACTGCCTGCATGAATGACTAATGCTGCGTCTTCTTTAAGGCCATAAAACTCCCCTGGGGCAGGAAGTTATCACTACGTTTACTTTTGATTTCCCCCTGGGGGTAGAAGCCTTGAAGAGGAAATTTATGGCAGTCCTCTTTTCTCAGAAGATTATTTATTTGGAGAAGGGAAGCTCCGAGGTTTCTTTCAGCATTTGTTGAATCTGAAGTGTCTTAAAATAATCTTTATACCAACTCTAGAGTTCTAAGTGTGTTTGTAGCATAGGTTCCAAATATGAGGATTCAACCAACTATGGATCAGAAATATTCCAAGGGGGGAGTTTGTGTCTATACTGAACATACACACTTTTCCTTTGCTATTCCGTAAACACAGTATAACAACTACTTACATAACATTTGTGTTGTAATAGAGATTATAAGTGATCTAGAGACAGTTTAAAGTATATGAGGATGGATGTAGGTTATATGCAAATGCAATACTATGGAGACCATTTTATTTATGTATTGTATGGTATTAGGATTTGAATTTAGGGCCTCACACCTGCTAGGCACATGTTCTACTGCTTCACCAGTCCAAAACTCCACCAGCCCTATCTAAGCCATTTTATATAAGGGATTTAAGCATCCACAGATTTTGGTATCTGAGGGAGGTCCTGGAACCAGTCACCTGCAGACACCAAGGGAAAACTGTACCTATCTCCTGCATTTGTGTGAGAATTGAGTTGATGCAGAGCTCTCAGGGACCAAAAAAAGAAAAAAAAAGGAGGGAAGGAAAACACCTAGTACCTAATCTCAAAAAGTGCATATCTGCAACTGGGAAAAAAAAGAGTCTCTTGGAAGAAATTCTCAAAGGAAAGCATTCATGAACTCCATAGCTCTGTGGATCTTGCAGAAGTGCTCTAGAAATCAAGCAGATTAGGGTTTTGCTTGTTTTGTTTTGTTGGGGGTACTGGGGTTTGAACTCAGGGTCTCACGCTTATCACTTGAGCTAAGCCACCAGCCTGGATTAGGATTTGAATTGCTGTTCTGCTACTTACATTCTCTGTGTCTCAGTTTTCCCATCTGTAGAATGAGCGCAACCATAGAATAGGGTTGTTGTGAAATTTGAAGAGTAGCAATCATAAAGTGTGTGGGTTAGTGCTTGGTCCCTCAATAAAGAACTCAATAAACGTTAGCTTTTATCATTGTGGATACATGGAGGTGAGAGACCCAGCGTCTAGTCTAAGTTCCTGGCCCTCGCGGCTACACGATACGGTTTCCACTGTTACAGTCACTTTTTCCTCATCTGTAAAAAGCAGAAAAGGGTGTCCCCACGTGAGCCCAGGATCCTTCAATCAGAATTCTGAATCAAAGGTGACACAGACATTCTGTTAAAGTGATGCACCCGGGCATGCCTGTAATGCCAGCAACTCGGGAGGCTGAGGCAAAATAAAAATAAAATGACTCTCCAGAGGGAGGCAGCGAGGGAGGCGATCGCCGCGGCCCTGCCTCCCCCCTGCCTCCCTCTGGAGTTAAATGCTGGGGTGAGCCTGGCAGCTACTCCAGCCTTGATGAGAGCTGCTGAGAACCTCCCGGGGCTTCTCCGGGACACGCCACATCCGGCCCGAAGGTTCTAGAGTGGCTGTGGCAGCCAGGCAGCATCACCAGGTCACCGCAAAGAGCGTCTGCCATCCTCTCCCTGCGCGCCCCGGGACCCGCAAGGTCTCTGGCACGGCAGGGGCGGGGACCGAGGAACGGGTCTGGGGCGGGATCTAGGGCGGGACCTGGCGCGCCCCGCCCCACAACGTTGACAGAACTCCCCGCCACCGCCAGGATCAGCTGCTGGGGACCAGAGGAACAGGAAGGGGAGGAGCTGTTTTGTAGCTGGCTGCTGAGCAATCAGCCGACCACAGCGAAGGGTAATTCAGTGTCCCCAGCGCCATCCGGGGGCCCTGAGGGCCTGCCAGGGCTTCCGCCGCTAGGGGCTTGGAGAGGCGAACAGGCCCTGCTTAGGAAGCCTGGCAATGCCCCGTCACGGGGGCCACCCCAGGTTCTGCTGGGTCCAGGACCCGGAGAGGTCTGCAGGGGCCCCCAGTCTGGGACTGCTTTGGCTGAGCCTAGGTCTGGCGCTGGTGCTGGTTCCGCTTGACTCTGTGGTCCTCTGGGCCCCTGCCAGAGCTCACCCCCTTCCCCCTCAGGGCCCTCCTGCCAGGTTCAGCGGCACAGTGCCCCATCTCCAGGATGTCTTTGGGTGGTGGAACATCTCCTGCCCAGTCTGTAAAGCCCTATTCACTGCCATCAACTTCGGACTGAAGGTGAGCACTAAAGGGGGCTGTGGCGGAGGCCAGCAGAGAGGTCTGAAGGCAGAGGCTGGGGTTGAGGTTCTGTGGGATCCGAATACATTCCTGATGAAGAGGATGGCATCTCCACGTCTTTACTGAATTTGCTTCCCTTGGGGACACCCATTCCTACATGTCATCACAAACCCCATCCTCTGATCTTTGAGAAGTAAGGAAAGAAGGAGTGGGGGTGTAGTTCATTGTCAAAGTACTTGCCTAGCATGTGCAAGACCCTGAGTTCGATTCCCAGCAACACACACACACACACACACACACACACACACAAGTAAGAGGAGAGTGCATTCAGCACCTGAGAAAACAGTCAGTCAAGCATAGGCCTGAAGAGCTGCTGACCACTGACCAGGAAGTAATGACCTGAAGCTGCTTGAGTCACAGGGCAATATGTAGGAGGCACTGAGGTCTCTTCATCATGGTGTCATTAATCCAGTCTGGGCTAGTTTGGATATGGAGGCCTATGGGGTGGTGACCAGGGTTGGCTTGGTTTCACTGGTCTGCCTCTGAACTTCTCACTAAGTCCTTCCACCACAGAAGGAATCCAATGTGGCACGAGTGGGCTCTGTGGCCATCAAGCTATGCAAGATGCTGAACATAGCACCACCCACTGTGTGCCAGTCCGCTGTCCAGCTCTTTGAGGACGACATGGTGGAGGTGTGGAGACGATCAGTGCTGAGCCCATCTGAGGCCTGTGGCTTACTCCTAGGATCCACCTGTGGGCACTGGGACATCTTCTCATCTTGGAACATCTCCTTGCCAGCTGTACCAAAGCCACCCCCCAAGCCACCCAGCCCACCAGCCCCAGGTGCCCCTGTCAGCCGTGTACTCTTCCTTACTGACCTGCACTGGGATCATGACTACCTGGAGGGCACAGACCCTAACTGCGCAGATCCACTGTGCTGCCGCCGAGGTTCTGGCCTGCCACCCACCTCTCAGCCAGGTGCTGGGTACTGGGGCGAGTACAGCAAGTGTGACCTGCCCCTGAGGACCCTGGACAGCCTGTTGAGCGGGCTGGGCCCAGCCGGCCCTTTTGACATGGTATACTGGACAGGAGACATCCCTGCCCATGATGTCTGGCAACAGTCCCGTCAGGACCAACTTCGAGCCCTGACCACCATCACAGACCTCGTGAGGAAGTTCTTGGGGCCGGTGCCAGTATACCCTGCTGTAGGCAACCATGAGAGCACACCCGTCAATGGCTTCCCTCCCCCCTTCATAAAGGGTAACCGCTCTTCAAGCTGGCTCTATGAGGCTATGGCCAAGGCATGGGAACCCTGGCTGCCTGCTGAAGCACTTCAGACCCTCAGGTACTTAAGGTCCATGGAAATCCAGTAAAGGAGAAAGATGGAGAGTGAGCGAAGGGAAATTGGGTCCTTATCTCCAACTCTGCTAGCATGCACCTTTAGCACTCTCCACTGCCCTCCCTGACCCCACCTTCTCTTAATTGCTTATCTCCAGCTACCCACCCTCTTTCAGAGAGCTAGCAGCATAAACCTCTCCATGCCCCAGGCTGTGTCTTTGCTCACATAGATCTTCTCTAAAATGATTTCCCCACCTCTTTAACATTCCCAACTTTTTGTGATTTGCCCAGGTCATCTTCTCTCAGAATGGCCTTAGCTTCCCACTAGCTGTCTTTTATCTCTTTTCTGAACTCCTGAAGCCCTCAGCCTTCTGAGCTACCCTTCTGTCATACTGGCCCTATAATTAGTACTGTTCGGTCTTCAACTAGAATGTGGGCTCCAGGAGGGTGGAGATGATGTCACAGAGGCCACTGCTTAGCACAGGACTAGGCACACAGGATTATGAACAAGTGTTGACCCCTCTTGTTTACTTTGTTTCAGAATTGGGGGGTTCTATGCCCTTTCCCCACGCCCCGGCCTCCGCCTCATCTCTCTCAACATGAATTTTTGTTCCCGTGAGAATTTCTGGCTCTTGATCAACTCCACAGATCCTGCTGGACAGCTCCAGTGGCTGGTCGGGGAGCTTCAGGCTGCTGAAGATCGAGGAGACAAAGTGAGGGACAGTGCTGGGATCCTGGCAGAGTAGGTGCTGTGGGGGAGGGGAGAGAGGAGCAGGCTCTGTCAGCTGGAGCACTGGTGAGCAGGAAGCTTGATTTCCTTGTACCTCTAAGTAGTGTTTCCTAGGGGTGTATCCTCAGAAGCTCTTCATCTACTCCCCCTTTTTCTGGGTAGGGCTACCTGGATCCTTTGATGCCTGGTAACCAACCTTAACTCTTCCCCAGGTGCATATAATTGGGCACATTCCCCCAGGGCACTGCCTAAAGAGCTGGAGCTGGAATTATTACCGGATTGTAGCCAGGTAGGAGGGAGAAGGGGAATATGGGATCAGGAGGAGGTGAAGTCTTAAGGGTTGAAATTTCCTTGAGCACCTCATCCCACAGCTCCATGGGATGGGGAGGCTACTTACATGAAGAAGTAGGAGAAAGAGCAGATCTTCCCCTACCATCAATCTTCTGAATGTAATTCCTGTCTTCCCATCAGGTATGAGAACACTCTGGCTGGTCAGTTCTTTGGCCACACTCATGTGGATGAGTTTGAGATTTTCTATGATGAGGAGACTTTGAGCCGGCCACTGGCTGTAGCTTTCCTGGCACCCAGTGCCACCACCTACATCAGCCTTAATCCTGGTGAGTGAGGTGCAAGGGAACCTCTCTTATCCTGGTGTTGGCGAGACAGAAGGGGTGAGAGTTCAAGCCTGCAAGAGGCAGGCTGATGTTGGCCCTCACTGGTGTTGCCTTTGTTCCCTTCCCCTCCAGTCAGCCCTCCTTCCTTTCAGGTTACCGTGTCTACCTAATAGATGGAAACTACCCTGGGAGCTCTCACGTAGTCCTGGACCATGAGACCTACATCCTGAACCTAACCCAGGCAAATGCACCAGGAGCCACACCACACTGGCAGCACCTCTACAGGGCTCGAGACACCTACGGGCTACCCAATGCACTGCCTGCTGCCTGGCACAATTTGGTGTACCGCATGCGGGATGACGAACAACTATTCCAGACCTTCTGGTTTCTTTATCACAAGGGCCACCCACCTTCAGAGCACTGTGGTACACCCTGTCGCCTGGCTACTCTGTGTGCCCAGCTTTCTGCCCGAGCTGACAGTCCTGCTCTGTGCCGCCACCTGATGAATGAGAACCGCCCAGATGTGCAGAGCTCGTGGCGACGGCCCCTTTTCTGCTAGGGCCTCAGCACCCAGAGTCAGGAAAGTTCTTGTCTTAGGAAAAGAACAAAAGCCTGAGTGCTGCTATGAGTCAACCTGGCAAAAAGACCTGTGGGACAGTCATCCTCAGGCCCCAAATATGCCGGGAAACAGGACCTTCCTCCCTGGAGCCAGTTTGGCAGGATTTGGGAGAGGGTTTGGCTGTTCTCCCTGTGGCCAGCTTCTAGATTCTCCTGGGAGTGCTGTTGTCTCACAGTCATGGAGTTGAAGCTGAAGTGCCCTGGGCAAACAGATAGAAATTGTTGCCCTGGGCTGGTGCTGCCCAGAGGGGAAACTGCACTGCTGTGCGACCTGACCCCTCCAGACTGATAAAATAAATGTAAGGACTTGAACTCCAGACTTTCCTGTGATTGTCCCAATTTCTTTCCAAACAGGTGGGCAAGGGGACCTTGAGAGCAAGTTCCTCACTGAGGGGTTAGTAAGGGGGGTAATGGTGTGGTACTGGCATAGGAAGGCACACAGCAGCGCAGACAGACTTTATTAGTGATATCAGTTACAGCGAAGGTGCCCACAGAGCAAGGGAGAGGGGACCCATGCCTAGACCAGTCTCCTCCCTCTTCTGCCCCTACTGGGCTTTATGAGGATGGGGCCTGGTCTGGACCAGTTCCTCCTGCTCCACCTCAAACACTGGGGATGGAGAGCCTGAGCTGGCCCTTGCTTCCAGCTCCTTTTGTCATCAATGTAGTTTTATCACTTCCTTGAAGGGATTAGATCTCTCCCTCCCCAGCCCCTAGCCGGGAACCCTAGCTACTGAAGAAGGGCAGCAATGGGGGACTTGAGGCCTAGGAATGGCATCAAGGACCCCTTCATGTCCCAAACCCTTAAGGTCCCTGGGGCCCAACCCAGGCAGGTGGAGGGAGGAGAGAGGCTTCTTCATGGGGTTTGCGCCCCTAGACGTTTGGGCTTGAGGGAGCCCCACAGCGACTGAACGCCCCTGCGAACTGTCCACCCTACACGCCTGGCAACAGATTCTGCAGGGGGTGCTGGGAGGCAGGAGGTGGAGGTCTGGGAGCGGGCATCCAGACACTTCTGGTAGCGGAGCTGCAGAGAGGCAGAGGAGGCAGTCACTCTCCAGCTTATCACATGTGAGGTCACATCACCACCACACAACCCTACCTGCTTACCATGCAGGCAGCCTGCACAGCCTCTGAGAGGCTGGCAGCGTTGGGCTCGCACCAGAACATGTGGCAGCAGAAGGAGGCTGGGCCGGCAGCCATGATGAATGCAAACGTATGGACATCTCTGCCCACAGCCAGGAAGGAGAGGAAGCGCACCCGACACTCCCCCAGCACTGCCTCTGTCTGGAGGGAAGGAACCCAGTTAAAAAGGAACATCCCAGGACTGGAGATGTGGCTCAAGCAGTAAAGCACCTGCTTTGTAAGTACAAAGCCCTGAGTTCAAACCCCAGTACCACCAAAAAACAAACAAAAAGGAATATCCCCCGACCTTCTGTGTTCCTTATGCAAGGCATAATCATGCCTTCTATCCCAGCTCTTTACCTGCTGGTGCAAGATGGTAAGAGTAGCAGGGGCCACGCTGACGTGACTGGGGGTCCACTGCTCACGGCTACTGGAGGACAGGACTGACTCCAGGGCCCCATTAATCACGTCTACTCCTAGAAGACATGGACATGGATATAGCACCAGTGAGGGTAGGGAGACGATGCCCCAGCTTTACACTAGACATTTCAGCTCCACTCAAACTCAGGGCCTTAGCTCATCTCCATTCCACCAGCCTGCAGCCAGAGGACACATCTCTCTCTTCCTCAGTGCTTTCCTCCTTGGCTTTAGGGACTTCACATTTTTCTGTTTTGTTTTTGTTTTTGTTTTTCTATCTTGAATTCTACGCTTGGTTTTCTTCATTGCCTTTGTCTCTTCCTCCAGTCTCTTAAACTGACTGACCCTCAGCCTGAAATCAGATACTGAACTGCTTCATGCCACAACAGCGACCCAAATTAGCCAGGCCAGCCCTCTCCCAAGACCCAAACCTCTTCTTTAAGATATCCATTTGAGGAATTTTTACTGTGTCACATTGAGCTAAGTCATTACAATGGATTATCTCATTTATGTCCACACAACAATCTCACAAGAGTGTATTTTATTACCATTTTACAGATGAGGAAATTGAAACTGATAGACTAGGTAATATGCCTTAAGTCACATGGAGGAATGAGGATCTGCCTGTCCTCTACCTCTTCTCTGTATTCTTAGTTTCAGAACTAGAAGAGCTATTAAAATCTTGGTTCAGGCAGGTGCCAGTGGCTCATGCCTTTAGTCCTAGCTACTTGGGAGGCAGAGATCAGGGGGATTGTGGTTTGAAACCAGGATGGGCAAATAGCTTGTGACACCCCATCTCCAAAACAACCAGAGAAAAATGGACTGGAAATGTGGCTCAAGCAGTAAAATGCCTGCTTTGCAAGCTGAAGCCCTGAGTTTTCAAACCCCAGTCTAGAGCTGGCAGAGTGGCTCAAGCGGTAGAGTGCCTTCCTAGAAAGTGCAAGGCCGAGTCAGACCCCAGTCCCATCAAAAAAAAGACATAACAAACCCTAGTCTATTATATGCTGGGCATGGTGTGTACACCTGTAATCAATCCAAGCACTCAGGAGGCTGAAGCAGGAGGATTGTGAGTTCAAGGCCAGCCTGAGTTACACAGTGAGACCTTTTCTCAAAAAAAATTTATAATGCAGGGCTGGTGGAGTGGTTCAAGAGGTAAGAATGCCTGCCTAGCAAGTTCAAACCCCAGTGCTACCAAAAAAGAAAAAAAAAAAATCTACAATGACTAAGAAACCCAAGGTGTCACTTCTAGATAAATCTCTTTCTCTTAAAACACTATAGTCTCTTCCACCTCAAACTGCTTTTAAGTACTTCCACTCAGGCATCCCATTTTTTTTCTTGAACGCAGAGAACCATGACAGGAGCGCACGGTTGACAGAGCAGTGAGTTCCAGTCCCTGCTGTACTTGTGAGCTGGCTATGTGATCTACTGTGTATTCGCAGTGTCAACACAAAAGGTGTATGCCTCTGTAGTCCATTTCCAGACCTTCTGCTTCTTTCAGCACCTTTGAGATGCCAGTAGGAGTACACCGCATGGCCCCTTTGTGGATAGAGGACAAAGCAGAGGATAAATGTCTTCCTTGAAAGTCTTCCCTAACTGTGGCCTTGCTCATCTTGCCTCTGGTTGGATCAAGGCCAAACTCCTCTCTGAAGCATACAAGTCTTCCAAAACCTGGCCTCATCTGAGGTGTCAAGCCTCATAATTTTACTTCTCCTTGAGCTTCAAATGATTTATGTAGCATTTATTAACATCTGATCTGGGCAAATGGACTGCTAGGCAGATGGGAAATATAAAGCAAAGAAGAGGAAGATCTTACAGGTACAGACTGTGACTAAAGGAGAAACCTCTGTCTGGAGAGCCCTTCCCCCTTTGCCTGTCTGACAATTCCACATTCTAGGTCCCACCAGGAAAGCCTTCTCCAGGGCAGGGCGAGGACAAGTCTGAAATAACTCTTACCACAGTATCTTTAAGTGCTGGAAGCCATTTTTCCACATTGGACTATGGCTATCTCAAGGACAGAGACCACATTTAATTCATATCTATGTCCCTAGTCCTAATACATAGGCTTATCTGCTGAAGGAATTCCAGATACATGAGTAAGTCACCCTCAAGGCAGCACAGGCAAATGCACCAAACTAGTAAAACCAAGTAACTTGACAGTCCGCAGGAGGTGACAAGACATGCAGTAGTGGAGGGGTCATGCAATACTGCAGAGGACCTTTAAACTCAAGGCAGAGATATATGGAAATGGTCATATGTTTTGTGTACAGCCACACCACCCTGAACGTGCCCAATCCCGTCTGATCTCAGAAGCTAAGCGGGGTTGGGTCTGGTTAGTACTTGGATGGGAGATCATATGTTTTATGTCCTTCATTCTGTTGATATCATGTATCATATTGTTTTGTGTATAGTGAACCATGCTTTTATCTCTGGGATGAATCTGACTTGATCATGGTAAGTGACCTTTTCAATGTGCTGTTGAATTTGGTTGATATTGTATTGTGGGTTTTTGCATCTATCTCTATGTTTGTCAGGGATATTGGACTATAGTTTTATTTTTTCATAGTATCCTTGTCTGGCTTTGGTATTGGTGTAATACTGGCTTTGTAAAATGAGTTTGAAAGAATTCCATCCTCTTTAATTTTTTTGCAATACTTTGGGAACAACTGTATTAGTTCTTTAAACATTTGTTAGAATCCAGCAGTGTACTTACCAAGCCCTGGGAATTTTCTTGATGGGAGACATTATTGTTTATTAAATATCCTCCTTCATTAAAAAAAAACAAAAAAAAACCTCAAGGCAGAGGGATGTGATGTCTATGGCATTTAGGCCAGGACAATGGGAAATCTCAGAGTTCATAGAGGTGGGAAGGACAACAAAGTCAACTTGCTGAATACAGCTGGGCAAGGGTGGCTTACACCTATAATCCTAGCTACTTAGGAAGCAGAGATCAGGAGGATCACAGTTTGAAGTCAGCCCAGGCAAATAGTTCTCAAGACCCTTATCTCAAAAATACCCATCAAAAAAAAGGGCCGGTGGAGTGGCTCAAGTGATATAGCACCTGCCTAGCAAGTGTGAAACCCGGATTCAAAACCCCAGTACCACAAAAAAAAAAGAAAAAAAAAAAAACATGCTGAATATGCAGAAGACTTTGGAGTAGGGCCTGGTTTTACACTCTAGGGAGGATTGACAGGATGTGGCAAATGTAATGGGACAATGTGGTCTGGAAAAAGGCTGCTAGATTTGATAACAATTCAGGACTAAAACCTATACCCTCACCACTAGCCCCACATTCCCTCTCCCTCTTACCCTCCCTCCCTGCTAATTTTTTTTCATATTAGTTGTTATTTTCTAACATAATATATGATTTACTTATTGTCTATCCTTGCAAGAACATAAACTACTTGAAGGCAACGATCTTTGTCAATTTTGTTCATTAATGCATACCAAGACCTAAAACACTGCTTGACACAAATCAGATACTCAATTTGCTGAATAAATGAATGAATGAATTCTGCAGCTTCTGGAGGGTCCAGTGTTAAAAGGGGTGTTAAGAGCCAGATGTCAGTGGCTCATGACTCCAATTCTAGCTACTTGGGAGGCAGAAATCAGGAGGATGTAGTTCAAGGCCAGCCTGGGCAAAAAGAGAGACCCTATGTCAAAAACACCCAACACAAAAAAGGCAGAGTGGCTCAACCAGTAGAGTGCATGCCTAGCAAGCAGTAGGCTCTAAATTCAATTCCCAGTAAAGGACAGGGGTGGATTACAAATAAAGGAGGAAGTGTGCTTACAAACCACTGGTCCAAAAGACCTGACTCAACCAGGGCAATCTCATGTAACTGATGGGGTGGCCAAGGATTGTGGGCAGTTGGTTTGGCATTGTGAGGACCTATGTAAGGTAACAGATCAAAAGGAGCAGATACTGGAGTGAGGCTAATAAATGGAAGAACCGAGAAGTATTTACAAGCTGAGGGTGAGAAAGAGGAGGGAACAAAACCAAAGGTATAGGGGTCAGTCAAGCCTCCTTTTTGCTCTCTGAGCATGCTTTTCTCACCTTCAGCTCCAAGTCTTTGGCATTTCTCCTTTGAAATCCTAATCCCCACTTTTCAAAGAAGGGCTCCCACTTTGGTGTTTTGTTTTGCTTTGGTATGGATTTGTTCTTTGATAATGGATCTCCCAATGTAGCCTAGGCTGGCCTCAAACTCACCATCCTCCTGCTTCCACCTCCCTAGTGCTAGGATTACAGATGTGCACTCCCATGCCCAGCCTGTCTTTGAATGTAAGGGTCATGAAAACAAGCATGTTTTGAAGAGAAGGGCAGAAGATAACCAGCATTTGAGTCTAGAACTACATTTCCTAGTTCTATAATCCGAGGCAAGTCTCGTTCATCCATACCTCTGTTTATTCATTCATCAAATACTTGTTGAGTTCCTGCTCAGTGTATTCTGATAGGATACCTGATCCTTGAATCAGTCTCTTCTTCCTACCTTTTTCTGGCTCTCACTGTTCTGGGAAGCATCATCCTCCTCCACCTAAAATTAAATTTTGGAGGACCTCAAGGCCTTCTTTCCCTTCCCACTTCAGGTTGTCACTTTCTGGGGTCAATCTCCTCCACAGTTGGCAACCCAAGCTCAGACTTCTACTCTCAGTTCCCAACCTGTGACTCCAGCTGCCAACTTGACTTTGCCCTCAGTTGCCCCAAAGGTACCTCAAACTCTGTCAAAATTGAACTCACAATCTCTACACTAAAGCTGGCCTCTCCCAGCATCTGTGACTTAGAGAATGGCACCACTATCCAGTCAAGTTCAAATCCAGGAGCCCAGAAGTCAAAGTAATGTCTCTGCCTCTCAGCCTACAATCAATCAGGGCCTGTGGCTATTTTTTTTTTTTTTTTTTTTTGTGACAGCACTGGGGTTTGAACTCAGTGTCTCACACTTCCTAGGCAGGCACTCTTACCACTTGAGCCACTTCACCAGTCCTTTTTTTGTGATGGGCTTTTTGCAATAGGGTCTCAAGAATTATTTGCCCAGGGCTGGCTTCGAACCACAATCCTTTTGATCTCTGCCTCCTGAGTAGTTAGGATTACAGGCATGAGCCACTGGCACCCAACGAGACCTGTTGATTTTAATTGTTTAAGCATCTCTTAAACTTGCATACTCCTCTTCAGTTCCACTGTTGCCCAAGACACTCTCATAACTGGCTATGATCACTGCAAGATCCTCCTAACTTAACTCCCTACATCCACCTCCACTTGCTTAACATCCTTCTCCACAGTGTAGCCAAAGTGACCTTTATAAAATTCAAGTCTGCTTATGGCAAATGCAGTCCTGAAAGCCATTCAATGGCGCCAGAGTTTGGATGAGTGTCCCCCAAAGGTTTATGTCTTAAAGGCCTGGTCTCCAGCCCATGGTGCTATTGGGAGGCTGTGGAAACTTTAAGGAGTAGGCCTAGCAGGCTATCTGTCAGTGATTTCGGGTGTGCCCTCAAAGGGATTGAGGGACCTTGGCCTCTTCCTCTCCTTACTCTGTGGCTATGAGGAGAGTGATTCTACTATGCCACATGATCTTGCCATGATGTGTTCTTTGCCACAGATCTAAAAGCAATGGAGCCAACAAGGGGGACTAGAACTCTGAAACCATGAGCCCAAATAAACTTTTTCTCTCTTTAGGTTGATTATCTCAGCTATTTGTTTAGTAATGAATGAAGACCTGACTAGCAAAAACAACTCCTTATAGCTCTTAGCCTTTAGACCAAATCATTACCCTAGGCTATGAGGTCCCACACAGTCTGACCGCTTGCCCAGCTCTCAGCCCGGCCTTGTCCCACTAGCCTTCTCTCAATGCATCCCAAGTACCAAACACTCTACCAATCTGGACCCCCACATACACTATTCCTTCTCTCTGGAATGACTTTTTCCTGTCCTGCCCCTATCTCCAACTCACTTTCCCATGTTCACTTCCAAGCATTCTTTTTATTTCAGTTCAAATGTCACTTTCACAAGGAAGACTTTTTCATGAAGTTCCTCTGTTATATCTTGCTACTTTCTTTCCTTCAATGACTCAATTTATTACTACAGTTACTTGTTTGATTATTTGATTAATTCTTCATTTGTCTACTGTAAACTGCATGGAGGCGGGACTATGAACTTTGTTCTCCCAGTGCCTAACACAAGGCTGGGCACATGGTAGGTCACAAAGGTATTTGTTAAGTGAATGAATAAATAAATGACAGATACTACAAAAGCATAGTCTTTACCCTCAGTTCCTTACTTATAAACAGGTATTATCATAATCATAGCATCCTTGGAAACCAGGCACCAGTAATTACACCTTTAATCCTAGCTACTCAAGAGACAGAGATCAGAGAATCACAGTTTTTTGCTTGTTTGGTTAGTTTTTTTTCAGCACTGGGTTTGAACTCAGGGCCTACACCTTCAGCCACTCCACCAGCCCTTTTCTGTCATGGGTTTTTCTGAGATAGGGTCTCACAAACTATTTGCGTAGGCTGGCTTCAAACTATGATCCTCTTGCTCTCTACGTCCTGAGTAGCTAGGATTATAGGTGTGAGCCACCAGATCCAGCAAGGATCGCAGCTTAAAAAGTCAACCTGGGCAAACAGTTCATAAGACCCTACCTCAAAAACACCTAACACAAAAAAGACTGGTAGAATGGCTTAAGTGGTAGAAGGCCTGCCTAGCAACCATGAGGTCCTGTTTTGGTGGTACTCCAGTACCATCAAAACATTATACACACACACACAACTGTACAACTCTATGACAGAATGCTTGCCTAACATACACGGGCCTGTGTTCAATTCCTACCACTGCCAAATTAAATAAATGACATAATACAAGGAGCTACTTTAAAATAGTAAAGCATGTGCCAGTTATGCTCACTGCTTCCTTCTCTGGATGTGCACGGCCCACAGTTGATGCTGTAATGCTGAACCCAGATCCAGGCTGTTGCCTGGTATTTCCAGTCACTTAGCACCTGCCTCCCAAACCCACCAAAGTTTTTCCATGGAATGCAGGAATGGGGGCTCCCTTCATGCCTGGCTCAGCACCAGTCATGTGGCAGATGCTCAGTGAAGGCATGATTGCTGCTTCTACAGGCAGAGTCATGGCACAGCTAGGACACAGGTACAGGGAGATGGGATGCATTTCAAAGGATAGGGAAATACCAAGAACAATGAAGGTCCAGTAAAAGCAGCACTGGAGCTGGACACCAGTGGCTCACACTTGTGATCCTAGCTACTCAGGAGACAGAGGTCAGGAGGATCATGGTTCAAAGCGAGGCATAGCAAATAATTCGTGAGACCCTATCTCAAAAAAATAATCACAAAAAAGGACTGGTGGAGTGGCTCAAGGTGTAGGCCCTGAGTTCAAACCCCAGTACCACAAAAAAAAAAAAATCATTGGAAGGCAGAGTGGGAACAGAGCTCTAGGATCAAGGTGGTGGCCCCTAGGCGAAGAGGACACACATACCAACAGGTTTAGCAACGGGCACGTTCCCCAGGTAATAGACTTGGAACTTCTGCACCAACTCATTCTTAGGCGCTGGGAATTCCACTGTAGGAAGAAGAAGAGGGTCAATTGTGTCAGATCTTGCTAACGAGCTTCTAACATCAGGGCATAAGCTGGACATTTACACAGCCAAGGCCCCATCTGCATTCCTTCCCCTGCCTTCTTTTAACATTTTCCCTTCACTTATATGATCCAAAGTATTCAGCCTCCATGTGTTCATTGTTCTATCAGGTCCGTTCAGGAGTTTGCACCTTTTCTTGGGTCGTCCTACCTTAGCCAACAAAGCTAAGGTGGACCTAGTAGGGTTGTGATACTGACCTTGGAAAGGAATATCCACGAGTTTAGAGTGGTCCAGGGAAAGTCCATTTACCAAGCAGCGAGCATTGCGCCGTTCAGCCATGATCTGAGGAAGGAAGGAAGGAAGGAAGGAATGAGGGGAAAAGCAAGAGGAGAATGTATTAGAGCTTCATCACTCTGAGCTCCCCCACCCCCATGCAGCGACCCCACCCACACCCTTGTAGAGCAAATGTGGCAGCTAATCCAGGGAGGGGAAGGGGCCGTGCCTTAGAGCAGATCTCATGCAGGCTGGTGGCGATGTTCTTGGCAGGTGCCTCACAGCGAAACACGTGGCACTTGAGCATCTGGGTCAGCTTATCTCGAGCTACGTAGGCAAAGTCCCTGTTGGGGGAGGGTCACCTCAGTGTCTCCTAGAACCATTGAATGCTGAGCCTGGCCACCACCCCACCTATATCTTCCTGCCCATGGCAGCTCCTCCAAGGTTTTGGCCCTCAGATGATATCATCCTGTATGTGCTGCCTTCTGGAGGGCAGACAGGCAAGCATGCTGAGGTGGGGGTAATGGTCCAGCACAGCAGGTAGGAAGGGGCAGAGTAGGGAAGCTTGGGTGCTTCGAGGCCTCTGGTCCAGGGGTGGGAGGGGGCATGGTCAAGGTAAATAGGCATAGTACCTCTCTCTGGGTCCGGCAGCACAAGAAATGCAAAGAATAGAGTTAGGGAGGAAGGTTCTGACTGCAGGATGAGTCCCCATCCCCTCAATCCTAGGTCCTGCTCCTACCTTCCACTGTCCCGCCCGACGCCCCACACACGAATGCTGACAATGGGCTGGGTGTGCAGCAGTGCCTGGCTCTGTGGCTCTACCAGCTTTAGTGTCTCATCCTCCAGCTGTAACAGCAGATCCTTTCCCTGCAGGCCCAGGAAGCAGGCACTTAGTGGTACCACAGCTAGGAAGGTGGCTGATCTCTGCCACCTCTACCTCAGAGGGCATTTGCCACCACGGAGTAATCCCTTGTTTTTGTGTTAAGACCACCCACCTGCAGGCCTCACTCTAGTAGAGATCATATGCCCTCTCTCTCATGACTCTTCTTATCATCCCCATCACTGTTAAATAATCAGCCTGGGGTCATTCATCCATCCCACAGGACTGCTGCTTGGAGTGTGTCAACACCCCTCCCCCAACCTTCCCTTGGGTATGACAGATCTCACAATTCCCTGCACACTCCCACAGCACCACCACCTCACAGGCTCAGACCCTCACCTCTCCCCATCCCCCAGACATGGGGTCGTGCAGGTTATTTTTGTGGTAGGAAAGCTGACGGATGCAATTGTTGACTGCCACACTGCTGCGTCCCGGTGCCAGCTCCTCCTCAGTCATCTCCACCCAGCCTAGGGAGCGCACGGCAAAACACTGCCAGACACAGAAGGGTGGGAGGTCAAGGATCTAAGTTGAAACAGGAGGCACCTTGGGCACAGGACACAGATGAGTTTCTGACTCATAATATGGTGGGTAGGAGGTGTTCTGAATTAAGACAGAAGCAACCCAAACAGGATATGGCCAGAGGGAGGGAGCTCTCAGAGGAGAGCCCTGCTGGCACACAGATGCCTCTGATCCAAGCCTGGAAGAATCTCTAGGAGGTTCCCGATCTGCTTGAGTTAAATAATAAAGATTCTCCAGCTCAGACACAGGGCTCTATGCTGAGATTCAAAGAACCCCTAATCCAGGACCTGTGAACTTTACTGCAATCACAGACCCCCAGACCCCCAGAGTGCAGCATGAGGGGCTGTCTTGCACATAAGGGGCCCCAGCCTAAAGAATGGGTGGTGGTTTTGAACAAACCTTGATCCCTGGGTTGGCATTCCGTAGGGGCTGCTTCTCCTCTTCTTGAGGCAATGGCTCTGGGCTGAAGGCAGATGGGAACACTTGACACAGCACCCCCATACATGGAACTGTCCCACGGCCCTTTTACATATATCTACTAACTGCTAGCCCACTGTATCTGGTGACTCACCTGAGGCTCTGAGTTGGAAAGGGCAATGTCCCCTCCTCAGGGTCCTTTAGTCCCAACTCCATTGGGGCCTCCTCACTGGGTTCATCCTTGGGAAAGAGATTGAGGAATTGGGACAAAAATGATGCCCCTTCTCTAGCTACCCTCATGGTTGAAACAGGTCCCCTCACCCACCTTCCAAAATTCTCCATCCTCAAAACCTTCTCTGTGGGCAAAGCCGGTCCAGGTGAGCTGGAGAGGAACAGGAGCAGGGAGTGGTTGTTTTATCCTGTTCTAACAGCATACACCCCTCCACCCCTGGTCAAGAAACAACAGGCCAAGGAGCCTCACCTGAGACTCCTCTTGGGGGCTGCTCCCCTGTGAGGGAGAGACCCGGCCGGGGGGTTCCCACTGGGTAGTCCCTGTTGGGATGTGCCAGTAGTAGGTCCCTGAGGTGTCCTGGACCCTCATCCATCCAGCTGGCAGATCGGAATCCGTCTCGAAGGCGTTGGGGTTCCAGAAGGAATCTACCAGGTGGGAGGCTTGGTGAAGGTCGGCCCACCCAACAGGAAGTCAGTGGATGCTTATGCCTATGCCCTATCCCCTCCCTGAAATCCCATGGCTGAGAAGGAGGGTTGGGTGGAAGGGCTACAGCACAGCATGGTTCCTACTTCCTTCTAGAGCCTACAGTCTGGAGTCACCACATGGGGGCCAGCAGTAGGGAACATGGCTCAGGTCTCCTGGGCCCTGCTGCTGCCTAATGTGGCCACATGGAAAGAAGGAAGAAAGCAGGGAAGAAAAAAGGAAGGGAGAGAGGGAGTCTGAGTGGCCCCCAATTAACCTACTTTCATACATTATACATACTCACATCCCAAAGTTGCACATCCTTACCAGCTTCCTGACACATACATGTGCACACAGACACACAATATAGGCAAAGCCATGCCACACACCTGTGCAGCCATAAAAATGAGTGTGCAACAAACAGAAAATGCCCAGCAGGCATCACATACAGGTGTACATGTGAGTTCAGGAACAAACACACACATACCAATTCCTTCCATAAGAATAGTGGACATGTGTAGCTGTATATAACAACCCCTGCCACATAGTTGTGCAGATACCCATACCATCACAACCTCCAACATATGTGTGAATATCACACATATAGGAGAACACACATTCAGACACAAAACATATGTCAACCTCTGTCACGTCTGTTCAGACCTACACTCACACCCTGACCCCTACCACACACAAGTGCAAGCAAACATGTCACGCACATACGCATATAACAAGCATCTGTGACATATGCCCCTCCTCTGCCAACAGAGCCACACTACTTCATCCCTGTCATCCAACCCAGGCATCCTCTTCCTCTGCTCTCCCTGCCAGCCCCACCCCACATCATGCCCAGCCCTGTGCTGCCCCTCACCTGGGCTGCTGTCCTGCAGGATGATGGCCAGGAAGAAGTCCTGGGAGAACATGGTGCTAATTCCTGGCCCCTCCTGCTTCCACCCGCCCTCCTCACAGCCCCTCCAGCCCAGCCAGCTGGGCTCACAGCCTGGTGCTGGACTGCAGAGAAAGGCTCATCCCACCCCCTTCTCACCAGGGCAGAGTGTCTGCTAGGCAAGATCCTCCCCCGCCTGAAGCTCTCTAGGGAGGGGCTAAGACCACCATACTAGGGAACCTCCTTGGGGCAGGGAGCAGGTGAGGAAGAGGGGGCTCATGAGACCCCAGTCCTTCCTGCTCACACCTTTTCTTCTTTACCCTGTATCCCATCCCCCCATCCTGAATCTCCATCCTCCCCTTCAGCGGTCAGCTCAATGCCATACTTAAGCCCAGGAACACCAGGGGACTCAGCCACTTGGGAACACCCCAGCCACCTGGGGCCCTGCAAAGCCTATAGCTCTCAGCACAAACAGGGTGTGGCTTCAAGGCCTTCAGGAATCTGATCCCCTTCTGTCTAGAAGTTGCCCAGCACTTCGACCCCAAGAGTGGTCCTTGAGGGCCTGGGTCCTAGCAAGCTTGAGACAGGGCTTGGGGCGTCCCAGCACCACCCCCCCTCACCTGCCAGGGCCCAGCTAGGCTGCAGCGTCTCCTCGGCAACCGCAGCACCAGGACTGGCTGGGAGTGCCCAGACTGCTGACGTGCTTCCCGTTACCAGGGAAACCAGGAATCCTGACTGGTCCAAGAGGCAGCACTGAGGGACAGGCAGTTTCAAGATCCAGGCTGCTGGGCGACCAGGCACAGAGGAGCTGGGAGTGGGCGTGGTTACACCAAGGTGTTTGCACACCTGATATGAATTATTCAGGCCACAGTACATCGCTATCCTTAGCATACAAAATAGGATGGGTCCACAGACACACAATGAGAAGGGGTTCTTCTCGTCCATCTACCTTCTAGGCAGCCATCACACCTCTCCAACCCCCATTTCCCCCCACGTTAAGCCATGACATTCAGCTGAGGCTCAGTAAGTATCTGTTCTTCCCCCAGAGCCCTTCCATTGCCCTCAGGACTCTCCTGTTAAAACCTTCCAGGAACACCAGCACCACCCCCGCCTTCTACAGTCACAGCCTGCTTCACGGAGGGTCAGGAACTTCTGGAATCTGAGGGCCAATTCACCATCTCCTGCCTGAGTCACACACACTAATCCATCTGTCATCCCTGCCAGCCTGTGCCTTCCTGCTTCAAAGAGCTTCATCCTTCCGATCTGTCCTGGAGGGGCAGCTTCTCCTTCCTTGACCATCTGGGATGCCCTTCTGGAGCTTGGCATATCTCCCTCCAAGCATAGCCCACCTGGGCCTTTGTTTCCACACACATGCATTTATTCCAGAATATATGCTTTAACTCCTGCATCAGTTCCTGCTGGCACTCACACGTGAATCCAAATGGTCATATTCCTTCCTTCATTCATTTGTCCATGAACGCCTTAGGGTTAAGCCAAGTGTACTCATTTGCTCAGGAATCTGCAATTCACTTAATGCTCTCTCCTTTTCTCCACCCCACATCACTACCATAGTGCAGACTACTAGCATTTTTTTCACCTGGATCATTGCAACTTCGTAAGTGGTTTCCTTCTTCCCATCATCTCCTCTAATCTGGGCTGCACATTATAGCTTGAATGATTCTTTTGAGGTGCTAAATGAATCAAGTTACTCTCCAGTTTCATACTCTTAACCACTTTCTCTTGGTCCTCAGGATAAAATCCAAATTTCCTCCTCAGGTTTTATTACTGTCATGAGCCCCTGTCTGCCTGTCAGCTTTACATCTAACCACTCTCCACCCCCTTAGCTCTTTGTGCTTGGGACACATTCCTCATCCTTTCCCAAGCCCAGCCTCTCTCTCTCCCCTCCAACTTCACCTATCAACCAGTCCTCCTTCAGACATCAGCATAAGGGCCACTTCTAAAAACTGACCTACTCCCCTTTCCCCCACTACATACATAGGCAGGTAAGGTGCCCTTCTCTATCTTCCTTTCCCACCAGTTTATCATACTGATTGTGACTGTCTATTTCTCTCTCCCCACTAGACTGTGAGTGCCCAGAGGATAAAAACATGTTTTCCCTAAAGGGTATATTCCAGCGTTTAGGGCAAGACCTACCACAGTACATGAATCCAACACAGGCAATAAAATTCACTCATTCATCACTCACTCACTTAATTCACTCATTTTTGCATTCAATCAACAACTTTGTGGACATCCTAGGACAGGGAAAGAGAAAACAATTTTTGCTCAATCCTATCCTAAAGGAGCTCAAACCTCCTCTGTGGCCTTCACAGTCATAGCAACACAATCATGAAAGAGTAAGCAATGACTCAGCCCCTGCCCAAGGCTGGCCTCACACCTTTGCCCTCAGCACTCAGAGTGCTGAGGGATCATCCACCAGTGCATGATCCTTAAGACTGAGGTCACTGCCATACCCAGCATGCCCTTCCCAGCTCTTCAGCACTTCTACCCTCCCACCTCAGAGACTAGAAGTGCAGTGACCAGTGACCACCCCAGGATCCACTAAGCAGCTAAGCCTCTCTATTTCGCCAATGACTCACACTCCCTAGGGTTGCAAGCTAGCCACCTGCTACTTCAGACTGATGTAAACCGCAAAGATTTTGTGTGGCCTGTACAGTGCTTTTAAAAAATCAGAGTTAGTACCGCTAACATACAGAAATTGGGTTTTACATCAATATCTAACTTTCAGTTTCCCTTGAACAAGGT